AATAGGTAATATAGAAAAGTTACATGTATAGCCAATTGTACACTCTTCTGTAGTGGTTCATTGAACCACAATACTGACAAGTGATTAATAAAAGTCAAAAAGACCAAAGAGGTCACCTTAATACCAAAAAAAAAAAATAAATAAAATTTTAAAGAATTTTTTAATTTTTTGTATATATGCTATAATGCATATCCCCTATATTCTATAATTCATATGATTGCTCCCAAAATACTATCTTCTCTAGTATTGCCATCAAAATTTTTACTTTCACATGACAGCATTTAAAATCTTTAAATTCGTTTAAATTAGGGTTAGTGTTTATAATAGGGCTAGGTTTTAGAGATTAATAGTAAAATCACTCAAGAAATTTTTTTTGTTAGAGTGCAAAAGGTGATTTCTTATGCAAGTTTTTGAAAAATAAGAGATTTTTGAAAAGTGAACGTTTTGTTTTGATCTTTCTGATCATATAATGTTATATTAAAATGAAACTCACTATTGGATGATCATTACATAAAAGTAAAAATTTAATGGCAATACTAGGATAGTTAAAAATACTCTATAATTTATATGATCACCCCAAAATTTGTACTACTTTAAATACAGTTTGTTGTTTTACTTACACTTATTCTTATCAAAGACATCTTTTTTATATAAGAGTATAACTGAAGGTGTAGAGAAAAGAAGCAGTAAGAAGGAGTTGCATAGTTTAATAGTAAAGTTATACAGAGTAAAGGTCAAAATTGCTTACCATATTTGTAGCATTAGCATTCAAATTTTACTAAAAAATAACTAAGTATTTAGCTGAACCTTTACTATTTTAAAGTTTTACTAAAAAGCTATAAAGTTTCATCTAAAGCCAAGTTTGATTATATTGGTACCTATTCCCTTGTAAGTAGAATTTAGTGATGAGTGTCTGATTTCATTCATATTTCTTTTCTAACATTTTTTATTTTAGCAAATGTAAAACATCAATTTGATAGTACAAGTACTATTTGGATAACTATGCTAATTTTAGGCTAAAGCCTCTGTAAGTTCATTGAAGTGCAAGTGTTTGGTTTTGTCTGTGTGCATGTCATTTTGTTCATGACTTCATTGAAGTGCAAGTATATAGTTTCATCTGTGCCTTTGTTGAAGTATAAGTGTGTAGTTTCATCTGTGAATTTATTGGTATAAGTGTGTAGTTTTGTTTGTAAGTTTATTAGTATAAGTGTGTGGTTTTTTGAGTTCATTGAAGTGCTAGTATGTGGTTTCATCCATGACTGCATGTGGTTTTATTAAAGCCATAAAAGGTAAAGTTCTTAATTGCTCACCACATCTGCAGCATTGATATTAGGTTTTTATTTTAAAGTCTGAACTAAGAGCATCACTTCACTATTTTAAAGTTTTACTTGAAAGCTATAAAGCCCTACTCAAAACCAACTTTGATTATACCAATACCTTTTGCTTGTAAGTATAATAATTGTTGTGTGGACTGTCTTACTTTGATCATAACTCTTTTTCTAATGCTCTTTATTTCAACAAGTGTGAATTTTTTATTTGATAGTAACCTTCAGGTTTTGCAATTGTAATATCATTGAAGTACAAGTAGTAGTTTTGTTGAATGTTTAATAAAGCTATAAAGAGGTAAAGATCTCTATTGCCTATTATATTTGCAGTATTAACATTGGAATTTTTATTAGAATTTGAATTAAGAGCATCTAATTTTAATAACTTTTTTTTTTATATTTATTTTAGCAAACATATTTGATAGTACAAGTACTTCTTGAATAAGTATGATAATTTTAAACTAAAGTCTTAATTTCTTAAGAGACATATTTATTAGATTAAAACTAACTCAAATTTATCAGATATTACAAACTAGTTTTTTTTTTGAGTTGTCATTTATGTTTCACTATAGATGAAAACTAGGATAATTTTTTGACTGTAAATGAAAAACCAGAAGATTTCCTTGTTATAAATGAAGAGAATAAAGAGCAAGAACATTTTACAGATAAAGCATCAAATGATTTTATAAATAAAGAAGCCATGGATTCTGAATTGAAATAGGTTTATTAAGAGTTTGGCATAGATAATAAGAACATTGTTAAACATGATGTTAACATGTTAATATTTTTTATTTTGTTATTAATAGAGTGCCATGATGATATGCTATCTCAAAATGAAATAGAATCATCATTCTTATTTTCTGGAAAAAAATTTGGTACATGGGATGAATGCAAGTTTTTCCTCAATAAATGGGTAAAGAATAAAGGATTTCGTTTTATTAAAGGTTGTATTACTTAGGAAAATAGAGTTCTTCATCGAAGAACTTATTTATATGATTATGGAGAGTTTTATAAATCAAATACTGAAAAAGATACAGTTACTAAAAAGATGCAATGTTCTTATCTTGTCAATGCCTCATGTCCTAAATTTAACAATATAGAACATTCCATATTTATTAACAAAATAGTTGATACTTATAATCATTTATTGAACAAAAGCAGAATTATGTTCAAAGATAAAAAACAATTTACTGCTGAAATGCTGGCAAATGTAAAATTTATGACTAAAAATTGCAAATTTGGAGCAACTGTACAAAGAAAGTTCCTAGAAAGCAAGTATCCAACATGAACAATATGCTCAAAAGATCTGTATTCTGTAATTTAAAAATTTCATTTTACTAACAAATCATTGCTTAATGATGTGGTAAAGGTATGATCTAGTCTATTATTATATAAGCAAATGATATAAATTAGGTTTGATTGGTTTGATTGATGTATTACTTTATAGGTTTCTAACTGGCTTGACCAGAAAAAAGATATGAATTCTTGTTAGGTTGTCATATGTAAGTTTGATGAAGACAATACCTTAACACATTTACTATAGATAACACCAGGTTAAGTTAAAAATTGGATCCAATACTCAGACTGTATTTTACATAATGTTACTTACAAGACTAATCATTACAAAATAGCATTGGCATTGTTTGTTGGGTTTGACAATAATCGCAAAAATATTTTATTAGTACAAGCACTCCTTTGTGATGAAATTGTTGGCTCATATAAGTGGACTTTTACAGAAATCATTAAAGCCACAAATGTTTATCCAGCTATTATTCTTACTGATGCCGATTCAGCAGTTGATGCTGCAGTTCGTCAAGTATTTACTATAACATATCTGATTTATTGTGCTTATCATTTAACACAAAACCTACATAAAAATCTCAAAAAGCTGTTAGGTAATGCATATCAAAACTTTCTTAAAGACTTCTATATTTGCTGTAACAGTTTTTCTGAAATTTTTTTTTATCAACAGTTTAATAAACTTACTCAAGATTATCCTAGTGCCAAAAGTTATTTAGAGTTCCTTTTTAAATCAAAAGTCTATTGGGTCTATTGTTTTATATGTTTCAAGTTTATTAGAGAAATGATTGCTACATCACAAGTTGAATCAGTAAATGCATATTTGAAACATTTATTATATAGTTCAAATGTCTTTTTATATGACTTTTTAACTGAGATTACTAGGTTATTAGATATTCAGAATAGAGAGAATGAATATAAATTTTGGAAGCTCTCAATTCCAAATATGAAAAATTAGGATAAAGTGAACTTTTTGTTTACTAATATTGACAAGTGTATTCAAAAGTTTTTTACATCAACTATTTTACAAATGCAACATAATGAAATTAACTAGTCAGTTTATTATATGTTAAATGTAATTAAGAATATAATGCATTCTAGTAAAGTGAAGGTCTAATTATTTATTTTGTTTAAATAAATATGGTGTAGTATATTAAGGTTGTTTTTAATAGAATAATAATTCTAATGATTCTTATAAAGAATTTGACAATGATGATATACAAACTAGTTTTAATCAACTGATTGAATTTGCTGGCTTAAACAATATTCAGGAAACTTGAACTATTTGTGCTGGAAATTCAACAAAAATAAAGTATTATGTTTTGCTATTAAAGAATCAGTCATATCTGTGTTCTTGTTTATCTATTATATGATATGAATAGTATGTCAGCATTACTTTCAGGTGATGCTAAGTACAAATAATGCTAAGTTTCATATTTGGATGCTGCCTTTGCATTGATACAGTATAAAAAAAATTAGCGCAGAGAAGCCATTTATAGTGGCAGACAAGTTTTTTATAGAAGTACCAAAAGCACCTAATTTTTTGGTTCTGTATTTGTATCTTAAACAAGAGAAGTCTGATTTCTGGGTAGAAAATTTGACAACTCATGAACAAAAAATGATGTATGGAAATATTCATGGTGCATACAAAAAGGCTCTTTATAAAGCATTACAGAATAAAACAAAATCACAACATTTAATCGAATTGCTTGAAGATTTTGTTAAAGATGATGATAACAAGCAATATGAATTAGATGATTTACAAGAAATTGATAGTCTGAATGATGAAAAAGAAAATAATAATTTTATGATTCTTTATATACAAAACTCAAAAATACATTATAGTAGATGTCATCCCAAAGGTACCAAATGCTTAAAATTGGCATATGAAGTATTAAAACCTACAGCAAATCAATATCGATGCAAGAAATGTGGTAGTTTGGGCCATTACCAGAAAAATTGCAGGATACTTAATTTTGTTGATATAAAATGTTAATCTAATTATGTAATTGAAAGCTAATAAAATATTATTTGTACAGATTTAAAGTTGTTATCAATAGTGGATACACTGTATAGCCTTATTTTATTCATTTACTAATATATGTGCTTTATTTGATATTTTGTAGTTTTTTAGCTTCATTTAGAGTATCTGATTTTATATATGTAGTAAATGCCTATTATATAGTAATTATATCACTATGTTAATTGTTATACTTTAATTGGTTTGAAATTGTTAGTTGCATTAAATAAATTAGTCTCTTGTATAAGAACATATATATATACAATTAGTAATTTTAAGGAATTGTAATTGTTAAAGCCTACTATATTGAGGCAACAGGAGAAACCATTCATATTTTATAACCAATCTTTTACCCAGTGTGAACTATAAAAAAAATTATTTTACAATACCTTATCATTCTGCTAGTACATGTTATGATTTTAATCCAACATTTATTTTATTATAATAAAAATAATGTTTAATTATAATCATAACATGTACTAGCAGAATGATCTGGTATTGTAAAATTATTTTTTTATCTGGTTCACACTGAGTAAATAATCAGTCATGTAATATTGATGGTTTCTCCCGTTTATTGAGGCAGTGTGTATATTGACAAATTAATACATATTAGCGATATAAACAAAAAGGTTTTTCTAGGTTTGACAATAGTATTATAGTTAGTTAGTTCTTATCCAAATTTATATACAGTATATTTTAATTCCTGCACTATCATATATGCTATATAATAGTTAACCCAATAGGAGAAACCATCAATGTTACATAACTGATCTTTTACCTGGTGTGAACCATATAAAAAAATTATTTTACAATATCAGATCATTTCATTAGTGCATGTTATGATTATAATTCAACTCCATTTTATTCTACTAACAGTATTGTAAATTAATTTTTTTATATAGTTCACATCAAGGTGAAAGATCAGTCATGTAATATTGATGTTTCCTCTTACCCAAACCCAAATTAGGTAAAATTGCAAATTGTTCTATTCAGGTTTGGTTTACATTATTAGTTAACATAGTGTATGCCTCTGATATAATAGAGTAGGTTCTAGAACATGTATCTTTTATATTGAAAAAGTGAAGTATTTATATTTTCTTTTATTGTAAAGTATTATAGTTACAATTTTCTTACCATTATTATTAGTTTCTTCTAGCAGTTAGTACTATATTGTGCATTTATTATGCATCACTCTTCCAAACTAGCTGTTACAACATAGCAGTATATGCTAACTCCTACCTTTAACTTGATCTTTTGAGTAATGTTAACAATTAAATAATGTAATACAAATATATATATAATTACTGTATATTAATGTAATACAAATCACTAATCTATGTAATACAAACTGCCGATCCTATGTAATATAAACTGCCAATCTATGTAATACAAACTGCTGATTCTATATAATACAAACTCTTATCCCATATACTATTACTATAGACATGTGACTTATAGGAACTAGCAATATAATGCTATAGCAATAAATTATAAAATCCTTAAAATAATTTGAAATAATTTAAAAAATTTAAAATTAATTCACAATATTTTGAATAATTCTAAATATAATAATATAAATAAAATTTTTGAGTATCATTAAGAAAAAAGAATAACTTTAAATATTATTAAAATATTTGGATTAAAATTTCTTAACAAATAATTATAAAATAGTTGTTAAAATACCTTTAACCAAAAATTATAATAATGTTTAAAGTTTTTTTTTTGGCAAAACACATTTAATAAAAATTTTGAAAAATTTTTTACTGTTCTATAAAAATTCTTCTTATAGTAAGTATTCTACTGTTTTTTTGACTTTTTTGAAATAAATTTGGCATGATTTGTCTTTAAGTAATACTCTACAGCTAACTTAAATTCTTTCTCTTTAGGATATATCACTCTTTCTATCAAATCTTTAGAAGCCCTCTTTACAATTTGCTATAATAAAAAATTTATTAAAATAAATTATAAACTAAGGTTAAAATAATTATTAATTAATTACTTTATAAAAAGTTTTTTTATTTGTTGTATTAAATTTATCATTCAACCTTTTCTCTAATTTTCTAATATGGCTATTTACTTGTTAAACCTAAGAGAAAAGTTGCTTAATATAATACAAAATTTCTTCTTGATTTTCAAAGATTTTTGCAAGACTTCTTTTTATTATAAAAAAAATTAAAAATTCTCGAATTAATTAAAAATTTGAAAAAAAACATAATTATTTTAAAAATATTCACAAATTGCACAAATTTTCAAACATTTAGAAAAATAAATGTCAAACTTATCTTATATTTCTTAAATAGAATAAACTATATTTAAAATCTTTTAAAATATTTTGAAATATTACATAAATTTTAAAATAATAGCAAAGTTGCAAAAATATTTCTATTTTAATAATTTAACAACTATTTGTATTGTAATATCTTAAAACATCTTAAAATTGGAATATTTTGTAAAATTATTAAAAAAATTTAAAAATTTTATATCTTTAGTTAATAGTATAGCTTCTAAAAAGTATAAGAGATTATTACTTTCTAATTCTAATTTTGACAATTAATCTACAAAACTTTCTGATCTTTCTGATAATGCTTTTTGAGATTTTCTTTAGTCTTTTTAGATTTATCTTTCTTGAAAGTTTTTTTAGAACCTGTAAGCATATCTGAGAAC